GCATCGGGCTCTGTACCAACAGCTCAGAGCCTGGAGCCTGCTTCGACTTCTGTGTCTCCCTCTCTCTCTGCCCCTCCCCCACTCACACTCTGTCTCTCACTCTCAAAAAATAAATAAAAAACATCTTAAAAATTTAATAAAAAAATGTAAAAAAAAAGAAAGAAAAACAAAACTGGAGGAATCACAATTCCAGACATCGTTACATTGCAAAGCTCTAGCAATCAAGATAGTATGGTACTGGTACAAAAACAGACACATAGATCAATAGAACAGAATAGAAAACCCAGAAATAAACCCACAATTATATGGTCAATTTATCTTCAACAAAGGAGGAAAAGAATATGCAATGGGAAAAAGACAGTCTCTTCAACAAATGATGTTGGGAAAACTGGACAGCTACTTGCAAAAGAATGAACCTGGACCACTTTCTTTCACTATATACAAAAGCAAAGTGAAAGAGGATTAAAAACCTAAATGTGAGGCCTGAAATCACAAAAATCCTTCAAGAAAGTACTGCCATTAATCTCTCTGACATTGGCCATAGCAACTTCTTACTAGATACGTCTCCTGAGGCAAGGGAAACAAAAGCAGAAGCAAACTATTGGGACTACATCAAAATAAAAAGCTTCTGCACAGCAAAGGAAATAATCAACAAAATTAAAAGGCAACCCTACTGAACGAGAGAAGATATTCGCAAATGACATCCAATAAAGGGTTAGTATTCAAAATATGGAAAGAACTGATACAACTCAACACCCAAAAAACAAATAATCCAATTTAAAAATGGGCAGAAGACATGAACAGACATTTCTCCAAAGAAGACATCCAGATGGTCAACAGACACCTGAAAAGATCCTCGAGGGGAACCTGGGTGGTTCAGTCAGTTGAGCAACTGACTCTAAAAAAAATTTTTTTTGGGGGGGCGCCTGGGTGGCTCAGTTGGTTAAACGTCCGACTTCAGCTCAGGTCACGATCTCACGGTCCGTTAGTTTGAGCCCCGCGTCGGGCTCTGGGCTGATGGCTCAGAGCCTGGAGCCTGCTTCCGATTCTGTGTCTCCCTCTCTCTCTGCCCCTCCCCCGTTCATGCTCTGTCTCTCTCTGTCTCAAAAATAAATAAATGTTAAAAAAAATTGTTTTTAATGTTTATTTAGTTTTGAGACAGAGATAGAGACAGAGTGTGAGTGGGGGAGGAGCAGAGCGAGAGGGAGACACAGAATCCAAAGCAGGGTCCAGGCTCTGAGCTATCAGCACAGAGCCTGCCACGGGGCTCAGACCCACAAGCCATGAGATCATGACCTGAGCCGAAGTCTGACGCTCAACCAACTGAGCCACCCAGGCACCCCAGCAACTGACTCTTGATTTCAGCTCAGGTCATAATCTCACAGTTCATGAGTCTGAGCCCCATGTTGGGCTCTGTGCTGACAGCGTGAAGCCTGCTTGGGATTCTCTGTTTCCCTCTCTCTTCCCCTCCCCTGTTCGCACTCTTTCTATCTCTCTCAAAAATAAATAAATAAACACTAAAAAAAAAAAAAAAAAAAAAAAAAGATGTTCAACATCTCTCATCATCAGGGAAGTGCAAATCAAAACTACAATGAGATACCGCCTCATACCTGTCAGAATGGCTAAAATTGACAACACAAGAAACAAGTGTTGGTAAGGATGTAGAGAAAAAGGAACCTTCTTGCACCATTGATGGGAATACAAACTGGTGCAGCCACAGTGGAAAAAGAGTATGGAGTTTTCTCAAAACTTTAAAAATAGAACTGCCTAATGATCCAGTAATTGCACTTCTGGGTATTTACCTCCAAAATACAAAAACAGTAATTCAAAGGGATACCCCTTTGTTTAAACCCCTATGTTTATAGCAGTGTTATTTACAATAGCCAAACTATGGAAGCAGCCCAAGTACCCATCAATAGATGAATGGATGAAGAAGATACCACAGATATATATAATGGAATATTATTCAGCCATAAAAAATAATAAAATCTTGCCATTTGCAAGGACATGGATAGAGCTAGAGTGTGTACTGCTGAGCAAAATAAGTCAGTCGGAGAAAGACAAATACCATACAATTTCACTCATATGTGGAATTTAAGTAACAAAACAAATGAGCAAAGGAAAAAAGAAAGAGAGACAAACCAAGAAACAGACTGTTAACTATAGAGAATAAACTGACGGTTACCAGACAGGAGGTGTGTAGGGTGATGGGGGAAAGAGGGGATGGGGATTAAAGAGTACACTTAACATGGTGGGAAAAAAAATGATTCTTTTAAAAATAAAAAGATGGGCGCCTGGGTGGCTCAGTCGGTTGAGCGTCCAACTTCGTCTCAGGTCATGATCTCACAGTTCGTTGAGTTCAAGCCCACGTCAGGCTCTGTGATGACAGCTTGGAGCCTGGAGCCTGCTTCCAATTCTGTGTCTCCTCCTCTCTCTGCCCCTCCCCTGCTCATGCTCTGTCTCTCTGTCTCTCAATAATAAATAAACATTAAACATTTTTAAAAATATATATTAAAAAAAATAAAAAGAATAAGAAAATCGAGAGGATAAAATAAAAAACTGTTTCTAAGGGTGTTATCAAGTATAAAGTACTTTAGAGCAGCTATAATATTTTTTTTTAATTTTTTTTTTTCAACGTTTATTTATTTTTGGGACAGAGAGAGACAGAGCATGAATGGGGGAGGGGCAGAGAGAGAGGGAGGCACAGAATCGGAAACAGGCTCCAGGCTCTGAGCCATCAGCCCAGAGCCTGACGCGGGGCTCGAACTCACGGACCGCGAGATCGTGACCTGGCTGAAGTCGGACGCTCAACCGACTGCGCCACCCAGGCGCCCTATAATATTTTTTTTAAGTTTATTTATTTATTTTGAGAGACAGAGAGAGCGGGGGGGGGAGGGGCAGAGAGAGAGGGAGAGAGGGAGAATCCCGATCAGGCTCCGCACTGTCAGTGTGGAGCCTGATGCAGGGTTTGAACTCATAAACAGTGAGATTGTGACCTGAACCGAAATTAAGAGTCTGTCACTTAACTGACTGAGCCACCCAGATGCCCCAAGAATAGATAAACTTAATAACTTTTTCCCTTAAAGAATTAAAATTGTATGTATGGCTTCTTAATAAAAAACAATATAGCTATATTTAAGTCACCAAGCTCTAAACAGGACTCCTATTAGTAAAAAGAACATACTGAGTCTTAAAGATCACAAAACATTTGCCAATTAAAAAAGGGGCTACAGCCCTAAAAAAAAAAAAACCCACAACTTATAACAGAAAATTTGAATTTTTTGAGACCCTAAAATAACCTAGTATCTTCAACCTCTTAATCCTATGTCATACTGATTCTAAAAATGGTGGTGTGGGGGGGTACTGGGCACTAACGGCCTCTCCATTTAATCTTTGCAATCAGGGCTTCCTCAACTCAGCCAGACTCCAACTCTACCCCTCACCAGTCCCTACATGTAATAAGAGATGTTTCTGAGAGTCACATATTCTATATTTGAGAAGCAGGAAAGTAGAAAATACATTAAGAGTCATTACACGTATACAGAACGTAGCAATAATTTTAGACAATAATACATATATATGTACAACATTCAAAAGTTTGCATTTAGTAAAAAAAAAAATCAATACAGTAAACAAGGCCTCAAAAGAGGACTTGGCGGGACGCCCGGGCTCAGTCGGTTGAGCATCCGACTTCGGCTCAGGTCATGATCTCACAGTTCGTGAGTTCAAGCCCCGTGTCGGGCTCTGTGCTGACAGCTCAGAGCCTGGAGCCTGCTTCAGATTCTGTGTCTCCCTCTCTCTCTGCCTCATCCCCCTGGTGTACTCTGTCTCTCTCTCAAAAATAAATAAACATTAAAAAAAGTTAAAAAAAAAAAAAAAAAAGAGGACTTGGCATTCAATCCCAGCTGTCACTAGCCCTCTAGCTGAGCAAGCCCTTCAGTGATTGCTCCATGGCTGGAGCTCCTCACTTATAAATAAAGAGAGATGATTTTCAAGGTTCCTTCCAGCTCTACAAGAAATCCTAACAATTTCGCCTTTTCCAAACTAGAATTACAAGCAGGAGAAACTATATTCTAAAATATTCAGTATTTAAAACAAAAATCTGTATTTATATGTGAGGTGATGGATGTGTTAACTACATTGGAGGAATCCTTTGACAACGCTTACATTCATCAAATCATCATGATGCACACTTTAAATATCGTACAATTTTATTTGTCAATTGTACCTCTATAAAGCTGAAAAAATAAAATAAAAATTGGCTAAAAAATAGGGGGAAAAAAGACACTTTAAACCACATAACAAATTCTACCTACTGCCTCTAAGTCTTGGTTGTAAGACTCTGATATTTACAAGTGGACTATGTTAAAAGACCAAAATCTGGTCATGTTAACTCATTTCTTTCTACTTGAAGTTCTGTTCAAAATGACAAAGGTTTGTCAGAGGCAGGGAGTGGGGGAAATGGGTGAAGGTGGTCAAGATGTAAAAACTCTGAGTTATAACTAAGTTCTGAGGATGTAATAATATACAATATTGGTGACTGCAGTTAACAACACTGTATTGTGTATTTGAAAGCTGCTAAAATATTAGCTCTTAAAAGTTCTTATCCAAGAAAAAGAAATTTAGAACTATATGATGTGATCGATGTGAACTAAACTTACTGTGGTAATCATTTTGCAATATATACATGTATAGAAATCATTATATTGTACACCTTGGACTAATATAATGGTATATGTCAATTATATCTCAATAAGACTGGAAAAAAATGGAAAGGGCTGAACACTGAACATTATCTTAAACTTGTTTCCTCAAGCAAATACAATAAAAAACTGTTGACTAAAACACCAATATTTAAAAATAAATCTTTCAAAGATGATGATCTTATGAACTCATCTGACTATCCTTTATTTCATTCAATTAATATGCTGAGCACCTACTATATTTTAGCTTGATTCTAGTGTCTCAAATAAAAGTCAAAGGTAGGACGAGAATCTTACCAACATGGCCTCCTCCAATGGTGTAGGTCTTCCCGGATCCAGTTTGTCCATAGGCAAAAACGGTTGCATTATAGCCCTCAATGAGCGACAACACTAGTGGCTTTATACATGCATTATAAACTTCATCTTGAGTGGAATTCTTGCCAAAAACAAAATCAAAAGTAAAGACTCTATCTTTCCCAATGATAATTTGCTGGGTGTTTGGAATAACTCTCACACAAGCTTGATGATTATGAAGAACTTCTTTGCATAGCAGAGGTCGGATTCTTACAGCAACTTTTACTGGTATTTCTTCCATAGCAACTTAGATTTTACTTAATATTCAGTATCTAGTGTGAGAAATATCCATTTTATGTAATTTCTGGACTCCTGTGTAACAAAATAAAAACAAAATTTAGTTATTGACTTCTCTACCCTAATAAATTAACCATCTTCTCAAGCAAAGTCCATTAAAGCAGGTTTTCCTCCAATATAAGTCGGTTACAAAGAGTAAATCTGTCTTATAAAAATACACCTATAATTTACAGATGAAATGTCTGGATTTATTGCAAAACAATCTAAGGAGTAGAGGCCATGAGTTGGTAAATGATGCAGCAAAGTGATAAGTGCATGGGATTCTATTGTGCCATTCTTTCTGTAGTAAAAATAGGTTTCCCAGTCCATTAATCTAAATACTGAATAACTGGAGAGTTAGAAAATTAAGACAAGGAAATAACCAAATAATTGTACACCCGTGTTGAAAGAAAACCCTTTACTAGATTTTATAGCTATGTGCTGGAAAGTAACATCTTTTTGCCACAAATATCAGAAATAAATCCATGAAAATAGTTTCAAGGATTTCTATGATATAACTTGAAACCAAGTTATTGATTATTCAAAAATAATCAAAACTAACTGAAACACTGCTTTTCTACTTCTAAAATATGGTATACTTATTTCTGAAGACTTCTGGTAGAATTAATACATTAAAAAATAAATTGCCCACTATACTTATAAGGAACCTGAAAAATTTTTAAAAATTCCACTTACAGTAGCATCAAAAAGAATATAATACTTGGGTGCCTGGGTGGCTCAGTCAGTTAAGCAACAGACTCTTGATTTCAGCTCAGGTCACGATCTCATGATTCATGAGACTGAGCCCCACGTCAGGCTCTGCGCTGACAACACAGAGCCTGCTTGGGATTCTCTCTCTCCCTCTCTCTGCCCCTCCTCCACTCACATTCTCTCTCAAAATAAACTTAAGGGGTGCTTGGGTGGCTCAGTCGGTTGAGCATCCGACTTCAGCTCAGGTTGTGATCTCGTGGTCTGTGAGTTCAAGCCCTGCATCGAGCTCTGTGCTGACAGCTCAGAGCCTCGAGCCTGCTTTGGATTCTGTGTCTCCTTCTCTCTCTGCCCCTCCCCCATCATGCTCTGTCTCTCTCTCTTGTCAAAAATAAATAAGCATTAAAAAAATAAATAAATAAACTTAAAAAAATACATAGGAATAAGTTTAATAAAAGACATGTAAAACTTATACTCTGAAGATTATAAAAGATTGTTGAAAGTAAAGAAGATCTAAATAAATGGAAAAACATCTCATGTTCATGGACTGAAAGACAGTATTGTTACGATGGCAATATTCTCCAAACTGATCTACAGATTCTATGCAACACCTACCAAAATCTTAGCTGAACTGCAGAAATTGACAAGCTTATCCTAGAATCCATATGGAAATTCAAAGGACAAAGAATAGCTAAAACAATATTGAAAAAGAACAAATTTGGAGGACACATTTTCCCAATTCTAAAACCAAGCAACAGTAATTAAGACAGTGTGGTACTGGTATAAAACAAACTAAAAGATCAATGGAGAAGAACTGAGAATCCAGAAATAAACCCTCATATTTTGGGCAAATGATTTTTGACAAGAGTGCCGAGACAATTCAATGGGGGGAAAGAATAGACTTTTCAATAAATGGTCATAGGACAACTGGATGTCCACATGCATAAGAATGCAGTTTGATTCCTACTCACATCATATACAAAATTCAATTCAAAATCATTCATAGACCTAAATGTAAGAGCTGAAACTTATAAAACTCTTAGAAGAAAACACAAGAGTGACTCTTAGTAACGTTGGATTTGGCAATGGTTTCTCAGGTGTAACACCAAAGCAAAAGCAATAAGCTTTATAAGGAAAAACAGATAAAATGGATTTAATCAAATTTAAAAACTTTGTTCCTCAAATATATAAAAGTGGTTAATAAGCACAGGCAAAGATGCTCAGCATCATTAGCCAGTAGGGAAATGCAATCAAAACTACAATAAGATTACTACTCTAACCCCACTAACACAGCTATAATCAAAAAGACATCATATAGCAGACACATGAAAAGATGCCCAACATCACTCATCATCACACAAATGCAAATCAAAACCACAATGAGGTATCACTTCACACCTGTCAGATGGCTAGAATCAAAAAGACAAGAAATAACAAATGTTAGCAAGGATGTGGAGGAAAAGGAACCCTCAAGCACTCCTGGTGGGAATGCAAACTTGTGCGGCCACTCTGGAAAACAGTATGGAGGTTCCTCAAAAAATTAAAAATGGAATTACTATATGGTCCAGTAACTCCACTACTGGGTATTTACCCAAAGAATATGGAAGTACTAATTCAAAAAGACATATGTACCTGTTTCTTGCAGCATTTTTTACAATAACCAAGATATGGAACTATGGAAGCCACCCAGCGTTAATCAATAAATGAATGGATAAAAAAGACATGGTATATATGGGGTACCTGCATGGCTTAGTCGGTTAAGCATCTGACTCTTGATTTCAGCTCAGGTCATGATCTCATGATTCATCGGATCAAGTCCCAAGTTGGGCTCTGAACTAACAGTGCAGAACCTACTTAGGATTCTCTCTCTCCTTCTCCCCAGGTCACACACACACCCTTTCTCTAAAAATCAATAACTTAAAAAAAAAAGATGTGGGGGATATAAATATACATAGTAAAACCTTGGTTTGTGAGCACAATTTGTTCCAGAAACAGGCTTGTAATCCAAAGTACCTGTATATCAGAACCACTGGCTCAGCTGTGATCATGTGATGTTCGGCATCATGTACTACTTGTATTGCAAGACATCACTCATTTATCAAGTTAAAGTTTACGAGAAATGTTTGCTCCTCCTGCACAACACTCACAGACCAAGTTACTCACAATCCAAGATTTCAGTGGGGGGGGGGGGTAATGGAATATTACTCAGCCTTAAAAATGAATGAAATCTTGACATCTGCAACAACATGGATGGACCGAGAGGGTATTATGCTAAATGAAATAAGTCAGATAGAGAAAGACAGATACCATATGATTTCTTTTTATTTCTTTTTTTTTTAAGTTTATTTATTTCTTTTAAGTAATCTCTACATCCAATGTCAGGCTTGAACTCACAACCCTGAGACCAAGAGTCTCATGCTCCACTGACTGAGCCAGCCAGGTGGCCCCATATGATTTCACTTATATGTGGAATCTAAAAAACAAAACAAACAAACAAAAAGCAAAATCAGATCCATAAATACAGAGGACAAACTGACAGTAGTAGAGGGTGGCAGGATGGGGGATGGACAAAATGGGTGAAGGGGAGTAGGAGATAACAGGTTTCCAATTATGAAATGAATGAGTCTTGGGGAGAAAAAGTACAGCACAGGGTCAATGGTCTTGTAATAGCACTGCATGGTGACAGATGATAGTTATATTTGTGGCAAGCATAGCATAACATATAGACTTTCTGTTCACCTGAAACTGAAGTCACATTGTGTGTCAACTACACTTCAATTTAAAAAAAGGCTTCAATTAAAAAAAAAAAAGCAACTCCTGATTTCGGCTCAGGTCATGATCTCATGGTCGTGAGATCCAGTGCCATGTTGGGCTCTACACTAGGTGTGGAGCCTGCTTGAGGTTCTCTCACTCTGCCTCTCCCCCACTTGCTCGCATTTTCTCTCTCTCTCTCAAAAAAAAAAAAAAAGGATACTAATATATTTAAAATTTTTTAAGACAGTTCAAAATAAGTATTAGGATGTATAGAATATGGAACCTTCACATACTCCCAATGGAATTGTAAAATGATGCAGCCACTTCGGAAGAGTCTGGCAGTTCCTCAAAAACACAGAGTTATTATGTGACCCAGCAACTCCACTCTTTGGTATATACCCAAGAGAAATAAAAATATATGTTTTTATGAAAACTTGTACATGAATGTTCAGTCTTGGTAGGATAAAGCTTACACCATATAAAAGCTAAAAAGAAAATGTAACAGTCTATGATAATTTTCAAGTGCAGATAATGAAAAATAATCAGTTTGGGGTGTGGCTGGGCTCTTTCGAGAAGGAGAGTCTTGAACACTATCATTAAGTAACCTAGTAGACTATTAACAGACTAAAATAACATTTTCGGCACTACTTGCTATGGAGATGATAATGAAGACATATTTAATATTCACTAGCCTTTAAAAAACTCTGCAGCAGTACTGCAGATTATAATTTCGTGAGTGGGAAAGTCTGAAAAGGATCATAGTAACAAATACATTAGTCTACTAAAAGCTCAGAGAGTAAAAAAATACCAGCTCCCTTGGGCTGTAAAATCCCAAAACAGAGTCAACATGCTATGTGTAATGGCCAAAACAAAGAGATGCACCCAACCTTGTCACTTTTAATCATTCTAGTTAAAACCGGCTGTGAAAAAATACTCATATGTATGATAAATCCTTTCTTGTATCCTATAGGACTCCACAGTCACTTGGTACTGGAAACTTTTCCAAAGAAACTACAAAGATGCTGAATGAGTTGGTTCTCTCAAATGTCTCTGAACATCTATATTTGAAGTTTTTTATCATACAGATTAGCTTTTCAAAGTTTGTTTATGGCATCACATTAAAACAAAAGTCATAGTCATGCTAAGTCAAACCTAACTACTTCTAACAAAACTGCTAAAAAAAAAAGGTGCAGAGTGTAATTGGGATATTTTCACTTTCTTGGTTTTTGCAATAGGAAACAATTTTGCTACAAGGGCAAATGAAATTCTATTCTATTCCAATAAATAAAGGCCCTTAAACATATGGCTTGTAAAAGAGTAATATTCAAGAATTTAAGCATTTAAGCATTTAAAAGATCCATAGCATTTATACTTTAGATTCTGGTCAACTGCAGTAACCAGAAGCATGTGTATTGTCTCGCCAAGAAATGTAAAGAAAGGTGAAATCTGATTGGTAATATTTAGGCATACTCAATGGAGTTTTGAAATTGAGTAAAGGCAAGAGAATCTTTGATCAATGATGCCATGTCACTGATCAAAAAGAAGTGTCTTCTAATACTGTTTCTATCCTGTGCCCACAGCTTTTCAGAAGTAGTGGGGTTGTCTAAAAATTGTGGTCTGTTAACTATATTTTTGTAAGAAATTTCCCAGCAAATTAACAATGAATCACAAAAGGATCTTAGAAAAGGTCCCAAATGCATAAATGACTAGATAAAGAATATAGAAAGTGAAGTGGAAAAACAAAAATTTGACAACTTGGAGGGGGCGAAGTGTTATTTAAAAAGTGTTTTGGTGTGCCTGCCTGGCTTAGCCTCGGAATCTGCTACTCTTGATCTCCGGATAGTGAGTTCGAGCCTTATCTTGGGTGTAGAGACTAAAACAAAAAAAAAGTGTTTCAAACAAAGAATCTGGATACCCTCTCTTTCTCAATCAAACCTGCCTCTGAGGGAGAGGGCTTTCAGACTTCTACAGCGTTGCACCAAAGTTTCAACATCCGCAACGGAAAAAGGAGACCAGCGACAAAACGAAACCCCCAGCGGGGATGGGCCTTCCCATCCGGTTTAGCTCCCGAAGTTGGAAGCACCGGCACAAAAAACACACAGGATCAGCCTCGGTGGGGTCCCGTCCGGCGTTCGCTCACGTCCCTAATCCCCGGGCCTGTCTACCTAGGGGGACCCAACTTCCCCATGCCGTTCTCCAGGGGTCCCAGCAACGACCTCAGCCCCCTCCGACGCCCTCCCTCGGCTTTGCCGGCCCCCCAACCGCCCCCGTCCCCGAGCCGTCCCGCGGCGGCCCCTGACGCCCGACCCCTAGGCGGCGCCCCCTCCCCGAAACGGCTAGAGCGCGGGCGCTGCGGCACTAGGGCGGGAGGGCGCCGCACTGCACCCGGCCGCATCAGCCCCGCCAGGCCGGCACGCCACTTACAGACCGGCTCGAGAAAGCCCTGATCTCCGGCGGCGAGCACAGTACAGGACTCCCCAGCTTCGCTCCGCCGGGCCGCCGCCGCCGCCGCCCGCGCCTTTTGTTGTCGCGGGTTCTCCCGGCAACGGTGAAACCAGCAGCCAACGCGCCCCCTCCCGGCCGGCCGTTGCGCGACGCCCCCGACGAGCCCCGCCCCACCGAGAGGAGCGCTGCGCTGGCCGCCTAGAGACCACCTGCAGGTGTGGCTACAAAGCCAGCTCGCAGGGGACTGCTTTCAGCGTGCCGGACCGAAGTCACTCCCCACCAGTTTGTAAACTGAACGTAAGAAAGATTCACGTTGCGTTTCCATATTTTAGCTGCTAATTCAGTTTATTTTTATTGAAGTAAAGTTCGTATAACATACATCGAGCCGCTTTAAGGTGTACATGAAGGCATTCTCAATGCTGTGCAACCATCACCTCTGGTTCCAAAACATTTTCATCACCACAAAAGGAGATCCCCGTGTCAGTTTGCAGCCTCTCCAGTTCCCCTCTCCTGCAGTCCCTGGCAACCACTAATCTACTTTCTCTGTCTTTATGAATCTACAGATTGGGGGCACTTTGTATTCAGGGTATCATACAATTTGTGGCCTTTTGTGTCTGGCTTCTTTTGCTAAACAATGTCTTCCGGGTCCACCCATGTTGTAGCATGTATCAGTAATTTTCTTCCTTTTGATGCTGAATAATATTCAATTGTGTGGACTTACCACCTTTTATTTATCCACTCATCTCTTGATGGACACGCTGGTTGTTTCCACTTTTTGGCTAATATAAATAATGCTGTTAGAAACATTCATGTACAAGTATTTGTGCATGTATCTGTTTAACATCTGTTTTCAGTTCTTTTGGTATAGATCTGGGATCTGGGTCATATGGTTATTCTATGTTTAACTTTTCTAATTTACTTAAAAAAATTTTAATGTTTATTTATTTTTGAGAGAAAGAGTGTGAACAGGGGAGGGACAGAGAGATTGGGAGACACAACCAGAAGCAGACTTCAGGCTTGATCTTTTTTCTTTTTTTTTCAACGTTTATTTATTTTTTGGGGGACAGAGAGAGACAGAGCATGAACGGGGGAGGGGCAGAGAGAGAGGGAGACACAGAATCGGAAACAGGCTCCAGGCTCTGAGCCATCAGCCCAGAGCCTGACGCGGGGCTCGAACTCACAGACTGCGAGATCGTGACCTGGCTGAAGTCAGACGCTTAACCGACTGCGCCACCCAGGCGTCCCCTTCAGGCTCTGATCTATCAGCACAGAGTCCCATGCTGGGCTTGAACTCAAGAACTATGAGATCATGACCTGAGATGAAGTCGCTCACTTAACTGACTGAGCCACCCAGGAACCCCTCCTATTTACTTTTAAATGCCTCAATGCCTCCCATTTTTAATAGCACAATCTAAGTGTTTTCTCCCAAGAGATTTTTCTTTTCTTTTTTAAAGTAATCTCTACACCAAACATGAGGCTTGAACTCATGACCTTGACATCAAGAGTCGCATGATCTACTGACTAAGCCAGGCAGGCACCCCTCACAATCTAAGCATTTTTTTTTAATTAAAAAAAAATTCTTGTTTTACATCTGTTTATTTTTGAGAGACAGAGACAGACAAAGCACAAGTGGGGGAGGGGGCAGAGAGAGAAGGAGACACAGAATCCGAAGCAGGCTCCAGGTTCTGAGCTGTCAGCACAGAGCCCAACGCAGGGCTCAAACCCACAAACCATGAGATCATGACCTGAGCTGAAGTCGGACGCTCAACTGACTGAGCCACCCAGGTGCCCCACAATCTAAGCATTTTCAAAAAGCATCCCTTCTCTCATGGAACTTAGAAGTGAAGGTGGAAAAAAAAGTGCTTAGTTATTAAATTGAATTACAAGTATCCCCTGCTTTTCAAAAGTTCACATTATACCTCTTGGCTGAAAGATCTACAATAGTTACCTCTTTTCATTAACTGAAGAAATCTGAAGAGGATTTTAGCTTTTATGATAAAAGGCGAAAGCCACAATAGGTTTGTTTTGCAGCCAATCTTTACAGTATAGAGGCAGCAGGCACCCGGGAAACAAGAGTGGCCCCACCAGCTGCCTTCAAGGGAACTATACTGAGCACCTCAGCATCAAGCCCCCATAGCTTTGAACTTGTCTGTGAACATCTATGCTTTATCTCGATTTATTTTGTGCATCTGTTAGCAAGATGTGCCCTAAGGTATCAGAAAAGAATTAAGAGAAGGTATTTTGGGGTGCCTGGGTGGCTCAGTCAGTTAAGCGTCCAACTTTGGCTCAGGTCATTATCTCACAGTCTGTGAGTTCGAGCCCCGCGTCGGGCTCTGTGCTGACAGCTCAGAGCCTGGAGCCTATTTCTTATTCTGTGTCTCCCTCTCTCTCTGACCCTCCCTCATTCATGCTCTGTCTCTCTCTGTCTCAAAAATAAATAAACGTTAAAAAAAGTAAAATAAAAAATAAAAATAAGAATAAATAAAAATAAAAGAGAAGGTATTTGGGGGTCTTGGAATGCTCAAAATTTTTTCCATAAAAATTAAGGGTAATTGCTTGTTTGCTTTACACCATTTTGGCTTACAAAAGTTTTTGCAGGACCATGCTACTTCCGGGTAGCAGGGAAACCTGTATTTTGAATTTTTAAAACCCAAAGATGTGAATTCACTAATTATTTTGAATCTTTAGAACTCCTTTTTTTAAGGAGTTCCCCAAACTGTAAAGTGGACACCAGTCATTGTCATCTCCTCCCACACCATCCAGGATGACAGCAGAACAAAGCTAACTCCATTCCAACTCCAACCCTATCTCCTTTCAAAGTCTTTATAAGTGGGACTTGGGAGTGCCAAGGAGAGAGTCATGGGGTCTCGGCCTTGTGGCGTGGGGAATAGAGGGTTCACACATGAAAGGCTTTCCTACTAAGTCAAAGGAGGCTCTAAGAGTGACCCAGAGAGCTGCACCAAGAGGAAACTGGCCTTCTGGTGTCCTTCCCGCGACTAGGGGTAGAGGCTGGTTAATGGGCCTCTGTGCCTCTCTAGACTGAAGCAGAGCAGCTGAATGCGGCACGTGGTTGGCACTGGAATGGAGCAGCCTGCACTTTCACACTTGGCAGGGTGAGAACCTATGATTTCTCCATGTCTCCAGTCTTGCCCTCACAAATCCATCCTCCACACCTTCTCTAGTGATCTATGTAGGACACAGATGTGCCTTTCCTGTAGCCTTTCTGTGATGCAGCCGAGCACAGAAGCCCAAGAGCACCTGGCTCGGGGAGGCCCAAACCGACCAGGTTCGGCCACTGGGCACTGACAAAGCCCAAAGGCAGAGAGACTAGTGGTGGTGAAACAGGAAAGGAATTTATTTCAGTGAGGCCAACACTGGGAAGACAACGGACTAGCATCTCAAAGACTGTCTCCAAAGTGCTGAAGATATTTCCACGTTTAAATAAGGGAAATGTGGGTCAAAAGTTTGGTGGGTATGTGCAAGTAGGCAGTGAAGGTCAAGTTAATCATTGTCTTGGGGTCAGTCACGTGGGTTTTGCTTGCTCAGGGCAGTCCTTATTGCTTGGGGGGAGGGGGTTGGTTTCGATTCCCATCAAGGGAAGCTTTGCTCACAGGATCCTTTGCCTGAGTTAAGAGATAAGCTGGAAAGGGGCACGTGGGTGGCTCAGTTGGTTAAGCGTCCAACTCTTGGTTTCAGCTCAGGTCATGATCTCACAGTTCTTGGGTTCTCGCCCCACATCAGGCTCTGCGATGACAGCATGGAGCCTACTTGGGATTCTCTCTCTCCCCCTCTCTCTCTGCCCCTCCCCTGCTCACACTCTTTCTGTCTCTCTCAAAATAAATAAATAAACTTTAAAACACAGGGCAGGGGGGAGATAAGCTGGAAAGAAGAACTTAATTTGAAAGTTTGAGGTCAAAATGGAGGTAGTTGAAGTCCTCTTTCAATGCCATGGAGAATATTACCTTTTAACAGCTGGAATGGAGAGACACAATTTTGCTGAGAAGATGCTTTGCTAGTCCACAGCTGGATTTGAGTTGGTTGGTACCCAGGCTTCAGGAAAGAGGATAATGTTGCTCATATGAGACCAAGAGAAGAATTATTTGAGTGCTCTTGAGAAAGAATGAGGAAGATGGAGGAAGGGGAAGGTGTTGAGAAGAGGCTCAGAGAAGAAGGAGAGGATAGCTGCTGAGGGAATTCCAGAGAGAACAGAAATGGCCAACAGGGATCTTTAGGTTGTATGCTGAGAGGTGTGCAGCATGGACCCTTCCCCTCTCTCTCCTGCAAAATCTTTAATAAAGTCTGTGTTGCTAACTGAGGCATTGTGACAGAGGGTTGTTTTGTAGGGACTTAAAAGATATGCTAGTCCCAGGGCACCTGTAATAAAAATAAGCATATAAATAAATAAATAAATAAATAAATAAATAAATAAATAAAGGATATGCCAGTCCTCAAGTCCAGTCTAGTGCTGGACAAAACCAGAGACTGACTATGTGGACCTAGAAGGCAGATTACAAGAAAGCTGAAGTCTGGCTTGCATTTCAGTGACATTTTACTTCACTAATAAATCAAGCAATGCAAATTAAAACAACAAACCATTCTCACCTGTAAAGTTGGCAGCAACTTTTCATAATGTAAATGCAAGTATTTAGGGGGACAGTCATTTTTATACATAATCTCATCTCTTGTCATCTTCCTAAGAAAATAAAGAATCATGTGCAAGAATGTTTATTATACTATTTGTAATATCAAAAACTTGGAAATTACATATATGTTCAATGAAAGGGATTGATGAATTAATAGTGCATTTAAAAAAGAATATTATGTACTCATTGAAACTCATATTTACAAAAAATTGGTATAGGAGAATGGTTACAGATTAAGGATACAAAATAATATCAACTTTTCTCACCTGAAGAATTGGGATAAAACTTGCCCCTACTTCATAAAGTTGTTGTGCAGTTTGAAAGTAGGAATAAAGCACATAGAACTCAAAAATTGTTAGGTAGCTAGAGGGGTACCTGGCTGGCTCCGTCAGTGGAACATGTGACTCTTGATCTCAGGGTTGTGAATTTGAGCCCCAGGTTGGGGGTAGAGAT